GTTATAATTCATATTTTAACTTCATCACTAAGGCATTTTAACATTCTAAATAAAGACACTGTATTGCTATGAGAGAAGAGATTGGCCAGTAGCAGGTTTTACAGTAAAAAATATTGATCATGAAAAGCCTGAGCGTTACGCTGAGGAGCTTAAAACGTCGTTCACAAATGTGCATTATTCAGGAATTTCGTAATAATATGTAACGTAATTTAAAATTTAGTCTCCCGATACATTTCCGTTACGTAAACGTTTAAAATGATATCAATCAGTTGTTTTTATCACTTTATTATTATTATTACTTTATAACGTTGCGCGCCTCCAACTTGCACGCAACCAAGAAGTGACTGTGAAAGCTTGTATAAAAGATAGAGCCTTTTGAAGGGTTTAAGTCCCTTTTTATTCAACGTAATAAATTACAATTGCGTCCTCTTGACGCTTACAGACTGTGCCAACTTGGCAGTCAAATAAAATAAATAAAAACCTGAAAAGAAAGTAAAGACAAAATTCTAACTACGAGGCTCTCTAAAAAAACTAACTCAACCCGCGTTTTTACAATACCGCTGCTAATTCAGCAGACTTCAAGCTCACTGGAACGATTACCAACTATTCTTTTCCCGCCAAGCACATAGGCCGCAACGCGGGGTTCTTCAATTCTCGCTAAGTAAGAATATCTCACCGAACTCGTTTCCTTCTATTTAAATCAGAATACTTCCGCTGATAATTTGAATGCTTGCGCGTTCTACTAAAATTTACATATTCTGGCATTGGCAGTTCCAGGGAAAAGTAAGGCTTGACAGGAAAGATAATTTAAACTTAAAATAAATGTTAGTTAAAATAAATATAAACCCTACAACTTTAATATTTAAAAAACTTAGTTTTTTAACGATTTTTAAGAATTTTTAGGCTTTTAACAAAAGATAATAAAATATCTGTCGTGTGCCATCCACGCGACTTCCTTATACGCACTTTTTTGCTGTAACCCATTTAATTTTTATTTCCGCGAATTTCTTTAGGGATATATTTCTCATTCAACCAATTCACTTCTCACTTCGTGGCAAGGAAAAAATACATAAAACTCAAAATTCCTTCATTAAAATTTGTAAAATACAGAAAAACCTAAACACCTAATATGGTTAACAGTAGTTAAAAAAATTTATAATTAAAATTTTAATTGGTAATTTTGTACACCGAAAATGCTACCTTCCTGCTCTTTGATCGAATTACTTGATCAAAGAGCAGGAAGACAGCATTTCCGGTGCACAAAATTAAAAATTAACTTTCTGTCTTACTGGGCAAAATACTCTCAATTTGGTGCACCATATGACTTAATTCACTATTCTACTAAGAGTTTCAAATGTAAACAAATGGCAGCCTCATTAGGCAAACTAACCTTTTAAACTATGGATGATTCTACAACTATTTCATGCAGATTGATTAAAGACATAAAATCCTTAACCGGAGCATAAGAATAACATAACTCAATCACTTTAAAACAAAAACTGCAAAATTTATCAACATGCAAGAATTAAAATAAATGGGCCCACCGAGCCGGGTAACAGATTGGGAATATGTATGAGTTTTGTGCAGCCGATTTCAACGAAAAATCGAGGTGCACAACTATATGTTATAGCAGTCTGATATACACAATTTCATCGCTCTACCGTTATTCGTTTTTGTGTTATGCGAGATACAAACATACGTGCTACAGACGTCACATAGAAAATCTCTTGTAATTCCATATAAAATCCATTTTACAATCATTTTTGGGGGAAAAAAAATCCTGTATTTTGTCCGTACGTACAGATATCACGAAAGACATGGTTCAAATGGATCCATAGGCGGTCAAATGGATATTTCCGTTGAAATATGATACCCGAAATGTTTCGAGATTACAATACTTCCTTTGCTTCGTGCAAGGAAGTAAAAATGTATAATACTTGTAAAAGGATGCGTTATTAAAGTTTCGGAAATATCAGAATCCATATTTACAATTTTTTCTTTTGCTTCCGACGAAAATTTATCTCTAGGAAAAATGATGCACTGATTTTTGGATGTGATCAGACCTTGGCAGGTCATTTGATTGAGATCTTCTCCTTTCTAAGGTCGCTCGTGGAAGAATTAGGTTTGCATTCATATTTATCACACACGAAAAGAAGGAAAGATTGGAAATCTTCAAGCAGCTGGTTCATTTTGCTGCATATCAAATCCGCAGTAAGACAAAACATCTAGAATTCAACAGCTTTAACCTATCACTCAATAGTAGACTTCTATGTTAAACACGTGTGTGACAAAGAATGTGAGCAACAATATTTTTATTGAAATATATATTTCAAATATAAAAAATACGATGGCTTTGCTTTACGCGAACCTATAATTAACTTTCCACAATTTCAAGATCTTCCCTTTAAACCAATACTTTCGAGAACCTCCTGGCGTGTTATATAACCCGCTAGTTTAAATACCGAGTACGCGCAATGTTTTTGGTCAGACTGCTTCCTACTATCGCTGCTACAAAACTCTGCGCTACTCTTTACATCTTCCCTTTGTTAAAATAGAATAATTGCGACGTCAAAAGCCTAGATTTCATCTTATTTAGTTTGAAAACTATTTGATATGTAGTTTGGAGAACTTCATCTAAAAGAAAAACTGTATGACCAAAGAAAAACCATTTGAACTGTATAAAGATGTGCAATTAAAAGCCAAATCCTTCTGTGTCATCATTTCGCTACATTCCACTCAGCCAAACAACGCCCGGACTTTGATGCCTGGCTTCGTCTTTCCGCAAAATCATTACATATATATATGTAATAAAAGCAAATTTCAAAGAAGTATTGATGTAGGAACACTAAGACATATAAACGTAAAAATACTGATTGCGAATATACTTGATACTTAAAGTAGAATTCGTAATGACTAAGAAACTTGGCAGTCGAGGCGGTTTTATTTCCATGTTTATTTCCAATTGACATTTGCGGCCACAGCTCATTTGGCAGTCAAATCGGGCCCATTGAAGAACATTTACATTTTTCATACTGTTGCGATAGAAAGCGAGCACAGCGAAATTACCTCCAAGCAGCATAGAGAGAGAAACTAAAGAGCGTAGTTCTCCAATATGGAAGCTCACGAAGAAAAAGGTGTTGGTTTGGGTTAGAAAAATTTCAGTTCTCAGAGTTTAGGTTCGCAATGACTACGTCATCAGCGTTATGCAAACTTCGTGGCGCAGATTAATCTAGAAATGATGCAGTCCAGAAATGTTGTTATTATTTTTAGAATGAAGACAGGAGTTAAAAGGCTATGATTAATGATTATTCGGGAATCGAACCACGGACCTCTGGATTACGCGCATAGCATGCAGAGACCACTACACCACGAAGGCACGCTAAGAAGGCGGGAGAAATACCTTATAACATATATGGGATATACCAGCTTCCATCGTAGCTTAAATTATCAGACAATAAGTTTAAAAAACAGGATCCATTTATTATTATTCAGGAGAAATAGCAGTTACAAAATCAGATATCCGGAGTAAATAAAAAGAATTATTAATAACTTTTTGTATGAAGTTTACTGCATCGTGACATTTAAGAAAAAGCCCCGATATTCCTTTGCGACTCCTTTTATAGCCTCTGGAAAGGCGGAGCTTCAAAGAAATGACGTCAGCCTCGTCAGCCAGTCCAGTTAGCTTTAAATATTTCCAGAACATTCTATAACTGTACGTGTAGAAAAGGCGGGAAAAACAACTTGATTACGGGGCTGTGGATTTAATTCCACGTAATTTCAAATAAGAGAACGTCGCCATTAAAAATGAAAAGAACAACAGTTAGAATTTTAAGTGGTATTCTTGACTATGGAATTTTATTATTACAATATATATATTAATATATATCAATATTTAAGAGGTCTCGAAGTGAAGAGAACAGTGAACGAGTGAAATTTTCTTTAAAAGAAAGCGAGAAACATAGAATACTTCACTTAAAATTTCATAAAAGGGCTAGAATCAACGATTATTTCAATTTTATTTCTGCTAAAATACGCATTTAAATTCTTCTATTAGACTTTTTTTAGCATTATTTACTCATGTAAATCATCCAGTTTTAAAGTGTGATTTTCGATGCCATTCACATCTGTGTTGTGATTTTAATACATATACTTTTTTATTAACCCTTAATTTTCTTTTTGAAGTTTTCATCTGTATGAACTCCAAATAAAAGTTTACATTTTACCAGCAGTTAAAATAAACTAAAAAAAAAAAAGTTTTTATACTTCAATTAAAATACTTTAGAACAATAATTATAACTGCGAAGATGTATGTAAACACAAGAATTAAAATATTTAAAAAAAATCAACATATGACAATTACAAATACCCAAAATACTCTGACAAAATACTGCGGAAATAAATATTTGTCTTCTTCCGAAAAGACTTAAAGATTCTTCCAAGATATTTAATTAAATTTAATGGATTAATTCTACACGTAAAACACAATTAAAAAAGAAAACATGGGATTGCTAATGGGAGTAATATAAGTGTTTTTTCCTTCCACCTTTTCTAAAAATGTATAAAATTAAATAAATGTAAAATATATTTTTAAGATTGATTGTATCGGCTTAAAATGCTATTTCATTTATGTATCATTAATTGCAGGGCCCACCAGCGGCCGAGTGGTAAAGACCCTGAACACTGGTAGTTCGGTGCAAGGTTCGAAACCCGCGAACGGGCTGGCTGCATGGGCGTTTTCGTGGTTTTCCCCGTATGTAACGTGTATACGAGCCAATTTCTCTTAGAAAGTCATCCACGAAAGCATCTTTCCCTTTAGGCAGATAGCCCTCGTGCGCTTTGCCATAATTAAATAATCCACTCCAATCCATTAATTGCAATGCAAGTAGGAATAAAAAGAAGAAAGATCCAAGATGCTGTTGTAATGTATTGCAATTAAATATATGTAAGAGCAAATATTTTATACAAGAATTTCTGAAAACTAATTCCATAAGAAATATTACCTTAATGAAGACAAACACAGATGCAGAAGCGCTGAATGCTCCACTATATAAGGTAATAATGGTCGATCTTTTTTCCGGAAACAAGTCCGCAATCTGTAAAGGAAAAAAAAATGGATTCATGAAAATCAAACATTTTACTTATCATTGTATTAATTAACATATATTAATCAACTTTTCAACAGCTCAATCGTTTTGCATTTCAGAGTTGAATTTGTTTAAAGAACAGTTAAACGTGTTTATAGTTAGAAACTATCCTTGTTTGTTTTTTAAACAAGTAATGTTTCTAAAGTTGGGAAATACAAATTCTAAGTTTATAACATTATAAAATCAAAGTTTTGTACTAAGAAGATAAAAGTGACTTGTGTTAATGTAAATGACCTAATGGAAGTTTCTCTTGAATAACATGTAACACTTCCCAACCTTAAAAAGCTAAAAAATCCGCCCTATATTCAACATGTAGAATAAAAACGAAATGTTTTCTTCTTCTTCATCCTCTTCAGCCAACGCGCGTTGCTCAGCTACAGTCTGTCTATAATAAGAAAAGCTCTCGTCAGTTAGTCTGCAGCTGTCTGTTGCCGTAGAAACGAGCCTTGAGCCATTTTCCGTAAGGGTATCTTGAAGATTTACTTTTCAGTTTAAAGAAGAATTGGCAACCCCTGGTTCTCTCCTATTTGAAATAGACTAGCCCCGTTGTTATAGCAACCGCCACCCGTCAGACACTGAGGGGGGGTGCTGTTCTTCTCGTAGACAGACGGTATATGACGCCGTGCCAATCTTCATGTCTTCTTGGGTTTCTAAACCGAGAGCGTTGCAGGTGTGGAAATGATCAGTGTGTAGAATTTACTATTTCAGTGAAATCTCAAACCTCAACCTTCCAGCATGCGCGTATGCGCAAAATTTACGACAAATTCTATTTTTAATGCACATTTTTCGTATACCGAAGCTGAGACGTCTGAAGGTCATTTCTATTCCTCCTATCTACCATTCCCAAATCATGGAAGTCATTTGACTTTTCTTTATTTTTTGGTGGGTTTGTGCTACGCGGAAGCTTTTTCGTAAAAGTTACGACACGCGCATGGTCGTGGGTGAAAATTCGGAAAATATTTTTTCTCAAATATTTTGTAATTTTGTGTTATTAATTCCCGTGTATTATTTTAATTTTTATACATTTGCCTCTGTAAATTTTTATATCGGTTTTTACGGAAAAAAAAAAAAAAAAAAAAAAAAAAAAAAAAATATGTGCAACCAGCTGATTTTGCTCGCATTCTTCAACAATTATCTGATGAGAAAAAGAAAGACAAGGAAACCTTTGGATGGGAGAACAATAGCAATTTCCCTTCCTTATTTTCTTTTATTTCTATTTTTTTAGAAATAAGTAAAAATATTAAAGTTAGTTTACAGTACGTTTTTGTAATCAGCAAGAAGTAAAATTCCTTGAAGAAGTAAGTAATGCTAAACTTACTTTTTTTCCCCACCAAAGTAAGTATGTTTTTTCCTTTTTTATTGGTCTATACTTGCCTTTGATGAATATTAAAATTAGCTTCGATTTTAAAATATAATTATTAATTATAAATTTAAATTTTACTATAATGAAACACATCATTGCATTTCCATCTCACTAGCATAAAAACTTGAACGTAATTTATTTATATTTGAATGGGATATCATTTGTATTTTGCAATAATAAGGTTAATATTTTATTTCTTAACAAATTTATTATCAATATTCACTCATTTCTGTCGTTTTTCGTGCCAGAAACGGCAAAAAAAAAAAAAAAAAAGATGTCGTAAAAAATATGACGCGCGTGTGCTCAAGTAAGATTGCCAAGCGCTCGTGCTGGAAGGTTAACTGACAAGCACAATTCTTTCAACAGATATCTTTCAAAATTGATCCTCGATCCTAGCAATGTACGCCCACCAGCGGCCGAGCGGTAAAGTCGCTGAACACTGGTAGTCCGGTCGGAGGTTCGAATCACGCGAACGGGCTGGCTGCATGGGTGTTTTCGTGGTTTTCCCCATGTGTAACGTGTATACGAGCCAGTTTCCCTCAGAAAGTCCTCCACGAAGGCATCCCTCTCCTTAGGCAGATAGCCCTAGTGAGCTTTGCCATAACTAAATACACACACACACACACACCCTAGCAATGTACATTCTGCACCCTCCCCCTCAAAGAGAGAGAAAGGTTACAGTTCTATATTTTACGTACTATTGGGCCAACTGACGAAATTTAGCTTGCGCTTTTCAGATCTCGAAAGCGCGACTTATATTTATATACAGCACTGTTCTAACGTATGTATTTGGACACAAAATCGGACTCTTTCTGAAATGGCAAACTAGTTTTTTTCATCTTTCGACTCTACTACTCAGATTATGCATGAAGATTAAATTGCGTAAATTTTGGTCAGAAACTTGAGAAATTACTGAGAAATCCAAAAATTTATCTTACGCACTTTTTTTTTTTTTTTTTCATTTTCCGCCAAGAATAATTCATTTGGGGCATTTCTTGATTTATCGTAACCTACTTTCCTTTCCCTTTTGATCTGCACAAACGGGAAAAAATTACTTCGTTCATTCTTTCAAGTAATTTTCTTTACATTATTATTATTTCTAATCATAGCTGTTATTTCTAGATAAGTAAACCACATTTTGGCATTAATTACTGCATAAAATAAAGATGCTCAGTTTCAAAACGCTCCAATATTTAAATTCACGCGTATCTTAAAACATTTTGAGTAAAATGCTCTAATTTGTTGCAGGTATGATAAGAAATACATCTACTTTAAGATGATGCAAAAGATTTATAGGTTATAATGATTATAATGTAAAAATAGTTTCGAAAATTTTATAAAAATTACTAAAAAATAAATCAGAATCTGTGAATTTTATTAGGATTTGACCTAAATTCCAAACTGCGAGAGAAGGAATCAAGTAAGTGTAATAAAAAAATCTGATGTGTACACCACATGACTTCCTTGTACGGAATATTAAATTATACGCATTTGTTTCTTGCATTTCTTTTAAACTTATTGGATTGAATTAAATCTACTTCGCCGACAGCGCATAAACCACAATAGAATAAAGGCATTCTTTAAAATTCACTCTATTTGTTTAACGTAGCGACACTCTGGCACTAGGTTCACTTAACAGTATTATATTTCGTTCATATTATAACTCAGAATGCACAAAATGTATATCATTTAAAGAATAATCTAATCGTTGCCACATGTTCTTTTCAAATACTATAATAAAGCTAGAACGATGTAAAAAAGAAATTAAGCAAACAAAACAAAAAAATCTGATGTGTACACCACATGACTTCCTTGTACGGAATATTAAATTATACGCATTTTTCTTGCATTTCATTTAAACTTATTGGATTGAATTAAATCTACTTCGCCGACAGCGCATAAACAACAATAGAATAAATGCATTCTTTAAAATTCACTGTAGTATTTGTTTACCATAGCGACACACTGGCGCTAGATTCACTTAAAAATTATTACTGTAACTAAATTTGTATTACTGTCAGTTTGCGCGCAGTGCTTCAGTACAAATTTTAAATTTCGGAAAATACTGTTAGTTTAAGTAAAATAAATAAATAAAGATAATCATCTATGTATAAAGATGACACACTGAAAATTTCATATATGTATGACAAAAACCATTTGACTTATTAAAACTCGAAAATCAGCTAAAATTCTCACTTTTTGTGTTGCGCAAAAGTGATGACTCCACTTCAGTATTATATTTCGTTCATTTTATAACTCATAATGCACAAAATTTATATCATTTAAAGAATAGAATTATCTAATCGTTGCCACATGTTCTATTCAAATACTATAATAAAGCTAGAATGATATATAAAAGAAATTAAGAAAACAAAACAAAAAAAGAAACAGTTTTTCACAGACGATTGGGTATTTCTCATTTAATTAATTCAGTTCTCACTTCGCGAGAAGGCAAAAATAAAATAAAAACTCAAAATATCTATATTAAAAATTACGAAGTAAATCCTAAACGCTTACTTCCTCGAAAAAATTCCAGAAAGGATTAAGCATGATTTAAATAGTAAATGAAGGCGTTATCTTTGTTGTTGCGAAGCTAAGTTTCTCTAGATTGGCAACAAATCCACTAGTCTCCTGTTTCAAATGTAAACATCAATGGCCGCCATTAAAAAAAGACTTAGCGGCAATTAAACAGCTTTAAAATTGCTGATAATTCTAAAAATATTGCACACATATTTACTAAAGGCATAAATCCTTAACCGGAAGATAAAACAACATAATTCAATCATTTTTAAAGCACAAAATGTACAATTTACAAACATATAAGAGTAAAGAAACTGAGATCACTGAGCCGGCTAACAGAGTAATTATATATAAATATATTTTATATACGTTTGGTGCGGCCGATTGCAACCAAAATACGAGGTGCACATCTACATGTTATAGCAGTCCTATATACAAAATTTCAACGTTCTGAGGCTACTCGTTTTTGAGTTATGCGAGATACGTACGTACGCACGTACGTACATACGTTCGTACAGACGCCACGAAAAATTCTTTCAGAATTAATTTTAAAGCATATTTATAATTTTTTTGAAGGAAAAGAGTATTTTATTCTGTCCTTACGTACAGATATCACGTAAAAACATCGTTAAATTGCATTCGATAGCGGTCAAAATGGATATTTTCGTTGAAATATGCTGCCTGAAACTTTTTCGCGATTACAATACTTCCTTTTTACTTCTTCGTACAAGGAAGTAAAAAGAAAACAATTTTTCACAGACGATTGAGTATTTCTCATTTAATTAATTCAGTTCTCACTTCGCGAGGAGGCAAAAATACATAAAAATTCAAAATATCTATATTAAAAATTACGAAGTAAATCTCAAACACTTATTTCCTCGAAAAAATTCCAGAAAGAATTAAGCATGATTTAATTGGCAATAATAAATAAATGCGTTATCTTTGTTGTTGCGAAGCTATGTTTCTCTAGATTGGCAACAAATCCACTAGTCTCCTGATTCAAATGTAAACATCAATGGCCGCCATTAAAAAAGACTTAGCGGCAATTAAACAGCTTTAAAAATTG